CTTACAGTGTCCCACGGTGAACAAGGAAACTTTTGGCATACATCTGCGAGTTGTGGGAGACTGGACTGGTACTATCTAACAGCAACACGCGCATGCACACACACACGTACACACACACTCAGACAGGATGGAGCTTAGTTTGTGTAACCCCCACTGATTTCCACTTTTCTCTAGGGAGGATGCATTTCTGAGAAATGACCTTTTATGTGCATGCATATGCACATGTTGGAACCTTAGTTTGCCTCGGCATTGTTCCCAGCATTGTTTTCTAGCAGGTTTTGTTGTCCTGCTAGAAAACTTGATCAGGGACGGTCACAAACCCTTTCAATTAAATGTTACAGGGAATCGTATTTTGATTCTTGAGTTGAAATTTCAAAATGGGTCACTTGCTGCTGTTCACAGCCAGGCCTACATCCTTCCAGAAGACAGGAAGTGAAGCTGCTTTGTTTGTGTTGGCCCCTTAATATGCCATGACGACGTGCTGTAAAGAAAGTGGAGAGCAATAAATCGGGATGTGTTGAAAACACAGCCTCTCCTTTCACCTCCTCAGAGCGCTTCACTCAGCAGCTACTGCCCCAGTCAAGGATGGACTTGGAGATTCTTCCCATGGTCCAACAGAGAGCGTACCCCAAGTAGGTTTCTTTGAGTGTCAGTGGTTGTGAGAATGAAATGTGGTTGGCCAGCCATCCTACTGTTTCTAATCGTTTGTTGGGGTCTAGTTAAAGAGTCAGATGTGATCTCAGGAGTGTGAGGAAAGAAATGGGGGCTGGGGGGAAGGTGATACCCAATCAATGTTAAGCAACAGCATACAAACTCCTAAATCTTCTCCCAGTATTGAACATAATGCACCATGTTTCAGGAAGAGCTGAATGAAGAGATTAATTGATTAACTTTAATGTTTCTGTATTTTACTGCACTAATGATCAAAAAAATAAGTGTTTTGCTTTGTGTGTTGAAAGTTTATATATACAGTAAGGGTGTGTGTGTGTGTGGTGGGGGGAGGGTTGTACGTGATACATTATAAAAATAGTTTAAATAATATTATGCAAATATGTTGACTAGCTAGTGGAGCAACGAAAAGTGCAACCTATCCTGCTGCTGTAGTTGGTCACATAGGACAAAAATCTGCAAAATGTTGTGTTTTTTGTTTTGAAATATAATTTATGTCAGCATGGAATGGTCCATTATTTGTTCCTCAGTCAGTCCAGTCATGACATTTATTGGAATGAACAGCAAATTGACAGACAAATAGGGACACATAGTGGCACACAATGAGATCATTGTACAAATGATTTAATCGTACATGCCTCTGGTGGCGTTCGTTCTTTGAGTTGTGCAAGATGTGCAGAGGTTGTAGTACCCACCTTTGGTTTGATTTAGGGTGTAGGCAATTTGTTGGCCTACCCACTCAGTTTGAATTATGTATTTCTATAAATAAGAGCAATCAATGTTGATAACATTGAGTAGTTGCTACAGTTCTCTTTTTTTAAGCAGACAAAACACTGTCACTGTGAGGTACAAGTGCTAAGCAAAGAATTTAATGAAAGTGTAGCAAAAGTCCAAAGAAACACTTTAAAGATTCCTTAAAAATGGCACATCTCAAAGAATATGAGAAACTCTGGCTTCTTAGAAGTTAAATAAAAAGATGTTAAAACATTTCCTTTGCCATATATTAGTGAATATTCTTGGCTGACTTTGTTTGTACCATTGTCCATGTTTATGATTAGGCTTTACATTGACGGTCCGTTTGGAAGTCCGTCTGAGGAGGTCTTCAACTACGATGTCAGCCTTTGTGTTGCTGGTGGAATTGGTGTCACACCATTTGCGTGTGTACTGCATGCTCTGCTGTGAGTTGTTGGGGAGGGAAAAAAAATCTGATGCAAACATCAAATGTTCACAAGTGTTAATGTGTCCATCTTTCTTGCTCTGGTGGGTCCACCCAGTGATGGCTGGAGGGGCTTCAGATTACAGAGGCTGTATTTTGTGTGGGTCTGCAGGGAGCTTCAGTCATTCTACTGGTTTGCAGAGCTGCTATGTGCCCTTCATCAAAAGGTCAGGGCCAACTCTCTTTTTCTGTTTTTTTTTTTTTTTTTAATGCAGCTGCATCATAATTTAATTAATTTAACTTCAAGGGTTGTAGAAAGCAGAGGACAATCTGGATTAATATGATTAATAATAATAAAATGTGGTGAGTGTGAATTCCAACATCTTGTCACCATAAAACCAAAATGAATACAACAATATTAAAGCACTGACTCTAATATTTCTCATGTGGCATGTAATAATGAAAATGTACTAGTGAGTATTATGTTTCATTCAGTAGTGTCCGTGTTTGTTTGTTAACCAGCTTTGGGAGGAGAACAGACCGGACTACTTTAATCTGAAACTGTATGTCAGTCAGGTGGACAACCTTCACGTAAGCATGGCACACTGTTGCACACTTTACTTTTAAGATAACACAATTTAAGAGTTTTTTTTTTTGTTGGACACTTTTATTGATTTTTGTTCTTAAAATGTGCATTTTTGAAATGCCCACCAGAGGGCAGTGGAGCACGGAGAAACTTCCATACTTCTTTCACTCAAACTATGACTTTAACTTACTTTCTCTTAATGAGATATAACTGAATTACTGTCAGTTTTTTTTTTATTACTGATTAATAGTCAATTTTACTCTTGCTGTTAAAGTTCCGGTTTAAAAAGATCACATGCTGTGTTGAATATTTTCCTGTCAATGAAATTACAAATTATTAACTAAAGCTAAATTAGCTTTTTCATCAGCTAACTTGAAAAGAATCAACATCATCCACACGAGTAAAGTTAGTGAGTAAAACTGAGGAGACTTAAAATGAATTAAAACAAATATTTAAAATAATAATATTAAATTACTAAGATTATTTTCAAAAATTAAACATATATTTATAATTTCGAAGTTTTACAGTTGTGGTGGAGTTGTAAAATAATATCGAGTCCACCGTTTTGGTTTCTCATCACGTCTCTTTTTGTTTTCTTCCTGCCACTCACAATTCTCCTTATACAGGAGGGGGAGAAACAGCGTCCCCCTCTGGTGGCCAAACGGTGTATTACACCCAGTAGGGGTTCGATTCCCCGATGGGACTGCAATCCCCCCCCCCACAATGGGCTGTTTCAGTGGTCGAGTGAGTTGAAAAGAAACCCTAACAGCACCTACCAGATACAAATAGTTTCTAAATGAAAGGTTAAGTACAGCTTAGTTTTACTGAATTATTTTCAACAAAAGCATTATTCTTGTCCTCCTGGATTATGTGTTGAAGTTTTGAGAAGCAATTTTATGTTTAATTTTATTCTAACAGGTACGAAGACAGAAAATCAGATAATACTTTTGTTTGCAACATCGTGTTGACACAGAGCTCTTGACCTGTAACAGGGGGTGTGTGTGACCCTTCTCGAGGTCGGGTTGCAAAGGGAAGAAAAAAGGGACTGCAGTGCTGAGGACAAAGACATGTGGCCCAAAGCTTTATCTTGTGCAAATGAATTCAAGCTGTGTCACACAGCAGTGGGTTTCAGCTCCTCTAATTGGCTGCAGACAATGTACATAACATACAAAGACTAAGACATACTTTGGGAAAGGTTAGGATTAATTCGTTAAGTGTTATAGAAGCCGTCATTTTGACACATTGGTCTTTTTAGAGCTTAACTTCAAAATGAAACTTTAAAGAATCATTGTTTTAAGCTGTAAGTTTAACTACTTGTAGCTTTCTTTCAGTAATATGAACATTTTTTAAGCAACTTGACAAGAAAAATCTGTTCTATTTGTTTTGCTTTACTTTTTTTTTTTTTTTCAGAGCATGTCTGAAGAACGATTTCGCCCGCTTTCTTCGAGGATGCTGGTTGGTCGACCCAGGTGGAAGCACCTTCTCGATGAGATTGGAAAAAGAAACAAACAGTGAGTATAGAAGCAGCTTTAGCAGAAGAGTTGATTTATTTGTCCTAAAAAAAAGTGACATAATTCAACCTTCAAGCCTTTTTCTTTGGCTTCAGGAAGCGAGTTGGGGTTTTCTGTTGCGGACCAAAAGGCATCTCCAGGACTCTCCACAGGCTGTGCAACTCGGCCCGATCACGTGGGACAACATTCGAATTCAACAAGGAGTCATTCAGTTGATGGAACGTCTTGACTGGTTGGAGTTGGAATGAATGGATTTTCATTCAATTTTGGACTTAAGCTTTTAATTTGAACTCCATTTCTCAATACCTTTGGAATCTGTTCTTGTCGGGAGTCATTTGGCGTTAAGGAAACGTCTAACACACTCCCAAGATAAAGATCAGCCTGACCTCCAGCTAAACGCTTCATGCCTGCCTCAGCTTTAGCATGTGATGGGTTCAATTTGAAGCAAAAGACTCATTCTGAGATTGTCCTGGTGGTCTTCTCAGCCCTGCTGGAGTTCTGGTTTTAGCTGCAGCTAAAAAGTACATTTCTTTTGTAAGGAGAATTTCCCTTAGTCTCTCAAAACATTTGCAATTCATGAAATACATGTAAAATATAAAATTAATTTCCACACTGATTTTCAAGAATAATTATAATGAGATTTTTTTTTTTATTATTTATTGTAGTTTTAATAAATGTGTTATCTATTGTTATGTAACTTGAGACCACAGTTTGGGAGATCTCCTTTTGCAATAACACCTACTGATGACTGTGAAGCTGTCATCTTACAAACCAAATGAAAACGAACTGATTATGAAACACACATGTGTTTGTGAAACTGAGTGACATCAGTTGTAAGAAACTTTAAATACTCTTAAGGCAGATAATTCTGCTACCAGTAAAGGATATAACAGTACTTAGTGACATTACAGTCATTTCTCTACTTTTAAATAAGTGAGAATCAGACATTTTTTTTTTTAATATTTCAAATAAGCAGTCACCTCTGGAAAAACTTTTTAAATCAACTTTTCTGCATTTTCAACACATAAAATTAGAACGATCACGTGTAATGTTTCTACCACTCATTCAGACTCATACGTTTGGGTATTAATGTAACACTTTATTTGCCTTTTATTTGCATATTTACACTGGATTATTTAAGCACCATTGTGAACTCACAAAACACAGGTTCATATTTATTCATGAGATGAGTGCAGAGCTGCATGATTACATGACTCACTGTCTGTGGACGGCAATAATTTTGACCAGGAGTAACTTGGAGTTCCTCTGAGACGCTTCGAGGTCACGAGTTTAACAGCAGTGGAATTTTACAGTATTTAAACTCTGCCTAATTTGGCAAACTTAAAGTTTACATGTCCCATGTAATTAGAATTACTCTTAAAGTGTCGTAAAATGAGAGGTAAATAATAGTTCTGTTCAAGTTACTGGAAATCAAACTGCTCACATACTTCAGGTGACGTGAAAAACATGTTTTGTTCTCCTTGATGAGATTTCACTGGTTGATCTGTAACTGAATCTATTACCTGATTCATTGTAATTATTTGCTTTGTTTTGCATCCCATTGGCCTTTTTGAAATGGAAGTACCCTGAACATAGTTTGAACATTCATATGCAGCTATTTGTGCTGTTTTTGTTAAAGAGTGGTTTGATACGACGACGATCCTTCCTCTGAGCTGCTCTGTAGTAGTGGCTGCCTCTCTCCATAACTCGACGCCCTCTTCCTTCTCTGACTCCTCTTCCACCTCCTTCTTGCGAAGACTACCAGAACGGCAAAAATCGAAGCAATCAAAGCCCCCAGGATCCCGGCCCCAAGCAGCCACTGCCAGATTTCTTTGGCCTGCTCCAGGTAGGGGGTCACAAACTCTTGCACAAACCTCTGGCCTGTGGAGATGCAGAGTGGACAAGATGCAAGTAGAGGACAAATAGCTGCAGGAAAACACATTTACTGGACGCGTTTGAAATTATGCACTGACCTGGATCTAACAGATAAGCATACTCATATCCTAGCACCTTGTTGGACAGGAAGTAGTCTCCGTTTCTGTAGAGTGGAAGGAAAGGTATCATATAGTATCCGTCGTTGTGTCCAATAGGGGCATTTGCTTGTGGGTAGCTGCTCCTGAGAGGCTGGTGGGTCCTGAGCCAGCGCTCAAAGATGCTGTGAAGGACGAAAAGTAAGACGCGAAATAAAGAAAATGCAGCGGATTGTTTAATTAGGTTATTGTGAGCAATTTTACATCCAGTTTGTATGTAAACACCACAGGTTACCTGTCAATGAAAGCATGGTGTAACAGGAATATGGGGTCATTGGCTGAACCCTGGACGTTGGACATGGAGCCGTTCATAAAGACATGCAGGGAGTTGTGCATGGTGCTCTGGCCTGGTACTGCTTGGCCAGTCTCTGGGCTGGCAAATCCTGCAACAGAAACTTATTTTCTACAGCAAACAGTCAGCCTGAATATAGAGTGGGATATCCGAGTTGCACACTTTAGCTAATGGTGCTATTTTTGATAATGTTTAGCTACTGAGTTTCACCTAAATTATTGTTTCTGGCTGTTTTATAAACTTTCAGTTGAGTAAAGTTCAACATTTGTGTTGATGCTTATGGTTATTGACTGTTTTGGCTGCACTGGGGCGCTTTGAGAAAAAATTTGGACTTAATCTAAGAATTTGAATTTGCAGAAAGCTTTAAGAAGTCTTCAAGTATTTAGACATGTATAGCTATGCTTTTATTTTTGAAGTGGGTGGAAACCACTATTTACGAAGTAGTTTTGCTTTCTCTCCTCATGTTCTCTCTTGTTTTCCTCACTACAACTTTATTTAAAGCAAAAAACACACAGGAACAAAATAAAATGGACAGTAGAGATCAGAATATATCTAGGGGAATTTAGAACATGCAAATTACAATGTCAAAATTAAATTGATGCTCAAAGGTCGTACTCTTTCAAAGTCGGATGTAATTTGCATTGCCAAAGTATTTAAATTTGACCACAGTGCAATAAGACAAAAAAAAAAAAGTAAGTGCTTTTCGATTCAATACATATTTTAACCATCTGCTTCTTATTACACAAACTGTATTTCTTAACATTTCTGTTTGTTTTACATGGAATCGGAAGTAGCTCTTTCATTGTTTGAAGATAAATATGTTGTGGTTGAAATATTGCTCTACCTTTTCATAAAAAGTAATGTAGCAGGCGTTTAGAGTAGCTGTTTAACTCACAGGAGTGTACAGGGAAATTTTTTTTGTATGTTTACCCTCCAGGACGTTTCTAAAGCTCATGTTGGCAAAACGGTCCATGTTTCCCGTCTCATACTCAGGTAGGCCTACAGCAAAGTCCACATCGGCTGTTGTAGGAAGTCTCGGCACGCGGTTTCTATCGTGGTTACCAGGATTACGCAACAGTGGACCCTCCCCAGTGGTATTGCACAGGACTTCTCGGTTGTTGTACTCCTCGGGCTGCGAGCAGATTACCTTCACCGCAAGATGTACAAACACAAATGCTTCTTAAAACAATGTCAGTGAAGAGTCTTTAAATCTAAAACTGGAGCTGTCAGGTTAAGAGTTGCAGATATCCCCTAAGCAGCAAAATGTTTAGGATTTTTATTAATGGCAAAGCAAGCAGAAAGCGAAATTCTTCAAGACAAGAAATGAGTAATGCTTCGATCCAATGGCAGGTGCAGCAACAAATGTTTTGAATTCAGCATTTCTAGGCTTCACCCATTAACTGAGCATAAAACTCAATAAACTGTATCATTAAAAAAAAAAAATCTACAGTTAGTAAAAAACAAAAAACAAAATCTGTGTGATATAAAAATGAGAAAAGACTTTAAATCTGTAGTTGTTTAAATATAAATGGAGCCAGAGAAAGACATATTTTCCTACCTTCCATGAGGAGAAGACAGAAGCAGGGCTGATGAGGTTGGGATTGAGGGAGTTGCGTCCGCCCATGAGAGCGTCGGTGCACACTTCACAAGACTGGGCATTTCTCCAGTCCCAGTATGGGATGGTGAAGTTAAAATCCCCTGTAATTTTCCTTATCTCATTCTCCCAGTGAAGCAGAAAGACTCTGTGCCAGGGCAGGAACGCTGCAGATTCATGGGCAAAGTCGATGTCTCTCCAGACGTTCCCTGGCCCCCCCAGGAAGGTGTCTCTGGAGACATAGTAGTGTATCCAGACAAACAGATCGTAGGTGTTGATGTCAGAGAACATGGGGTTCTCGCCATTTTCTCCCATCTCTGCTCTTGTTGCTGTGGAGATGACATAGTCAGGGCTGATGGTGTTTTTAGCCAGGTTGAGGTAAGAGATGAATTTCTGCTGCTCTGCAGTTGACATGGTCATGATGTTCCGCCGCACTGATTCCCTGTACTGAGCACAGTTTCCACCCCAGTACCCAAACCTGCACTCTCCACAGTTAAACCCCCCGTAGTTTCCGGCACAGCGACACGTACGGTTGAAGAAAGCCAAAGGCCAGCGCTCTCTGTCATCAATCCCAGTGTGTGGGTACTGTGGCCCGTTGGGCTCATCTGAGACCAGCACCTCGGTGCAGAACCCGCGGCCCGACAGAGCTCCGCAAGCCGAGCCGTCTCCTTCCCAAACTGGACAGCATTCTTTAGTTCGCAGCCCCTCGGAGTTGGCACACGGGCGAGGAAACTGGGACGAACACACCCCCATTAGGTGAAAAAGGACAACAGACTCAAGCAGGTTCTTCATGCTGAAGAGTTACTTTGGTCTCCAAACACTGTGGCGATATTTCACAGAAACAGAACCTGTTACGTTCCAAACCTCTGCTGACAAACACAGAAAGGAAGAACTGCTTAGAAGATTGAGTGGCAAGAAGTCTCTTCTAGATATTGGAATTACATCCGTAGAATACCTCAGCAATCAATTGTACAAATGCAGAATATTTTAGAATCATTATGTTAAACTTGGATCTTGTAACCTACCATCTAAGCAGCTTCTAAACCTCCGTCGACCTTCTCTTTCACACACCCAGGCGGCTCTCCCCTGGTTTCTGCCTACTCGTTCAGCCGTTTTGGGGGCCGTCCTCAGAAGAAAGTGTGCAATTTCCTGCATTCACTCACACACACAGATTATGACGAGCATCACATGCTCAAGATAATGCTCTTGATTCCTTTTTTCACTTTGTCTGGAGACCAGCTGACCTCACCCTTTCCTACCTCAGGCAGAAGAGGGAGGTTTTGTGGTTATGTACACACCATTGCAGGCCCCAACCCATCAACCACCCCCCCAAAAAAACCCTCAAGGGCAGAAATTTACGCATGACAAAAATCAATGTCTCCCTCTGAAAGTGAGAGGAAGAACTGAGTAAAGATATGAAAGTGGAAAACTGATGTTTTACTCTAATCAGAATTAGAACCCGTGCTGATTTGACCCCAACATTTGCAGGGTTTTATTGAGTTTTGGCCCTAAATCCAATTAAGAATGTGTGGCAAATAGTTGTGCTATATTTCCAAGAATTTACGCAAATTGAATAATATTTGCAAAAGGAAAACAGCATTTCTCATTTGATCCAAATATTAACATTTTTGTTTAAAAAAAGAAAACAGTTTTGATTGCAGGCTTTGTGGAATCTTTGTCCTGAAATTTGTAGATAAAACAATCCAAATGTCTTTTTTTTTAATCTCATGTTTTCTCTTCCAGACTCCTCTTTCAGTAGTTCAGAAAAAAATGATCAGTTTTCATCAAACTTCATCAAGGGCAGAGAAAGCAAGAAAATAAAAATGCAAGTCAGCTTAGTATCATCAACTTTTCTAAATCAAATCTATTTAATTTAGTACGACTCCATTTTCCTCTGGATGCTTCATCCTCTGCAGTGATTCAACGAATGAGCATCTCTCGCCAAATAAATGAAACAAGCAGGTACCGAGGCTTGATATTCCTCTGCACAGTGACAAGTGATCTTATTGAAAATGACAACAGCAATTCATACAGACATGATACAGAGTGTTAGTGCCGTTGGTATTTTACAGTGAGGGAAATAAAAACACCAGCTTTGACTGTGGAACAGAAAATGCACTGGAAAGACAAGGACACATTAAGTTTAATACATAAATAACTGCTATGGCACTTCAGTATTTCACTTAAGCAAAAGAAACATTTCCTGATTCAGAAAAGTAAATTATTGTTTAATGCAGCCACTAATGTTATTCACAATCTTTTTGTTATTTTCATACAGTAAAAGCTAAACCAACACTTGCTAAATTTAGTTGTAGTGTTTGAATACATTTTCTTGTTGCACAGAAATGCAACCTTTTTGTTGTTCTGCTCTTACAACAGCAATAAGTCCAACAAGTTGATTATTAGCCTTGTAGCCATCCTGCTGCAAGAGGCTTACAAATATTTTATCTGTGGCTTTCCAACTGAACAGCTACCTTAACAACAGTTATTGCATTTTGTTCTTATCATGTCAGGATCTTTGGCTGTTTAAGTTGTTTTAGGGTTTGTTTATTTCTGTGTTCCTTATAGTTTCTTATTTTCATTTGATCAGCTTTGTTTCAGTTTTTACTTTAGTTCAGTACTTTCTTATTGATTCCAGTTTTTATTTGTTGTGTCTAGTTTGGTTTGTTAGATCTAGTTAGTTTTATTTTCTAGTCCTTCACCTGCTCTCTCTCTCTCTCTCTCTCTCCTTTCACACCTGTAACCTCTGGTTTTCTCCCTGTTACTTCCCTGTAGAGTCCCAGCTGTTCTTTTATGTTGGATTCCTGTTTTTGTTTGGCTCTGGCTCCCTGTGACATTTGTAAGTTTTATTCTTAATTTTTCATTAAAATATTCATAATCAACTCCCTGCTTCAGCTGCTCCTGCAATTGTTGCCAACTTTAATCAACACATTTTGACAAATGGAGGAATTTATTTATTTTTAGTAAAACTTACTCTTTAAAGTATGTATTAAAATATCTGGGCAATTTTCCAGTGTTACATAAGACAACAGAGTAAGTTGTGCAATTAAAAACTCAGAGACCCTCTCTGCATCTCTTCCACCATGTGGTACGTGAGGAATCAACACGCCATAGGTAGAAACTTCTAGGAGGAGAGAGTCAGATATTTCCTCCCCACATGCTCCAACTCCTCAGGTCCCACATGCCCACTACAGACCCCAGAATTATCTGCGCAAACTCCAGGATCACAAGCCGCTCACATGCTGCTGTGGTCAGGCACGGGATGCAGCTTAACTGGCTGCAGGAACGCAGTAGAGCACACAGGAATGACCGTCACAGGATAAACCCGCCCTCAGGGTTCCTATGAGAGAGCCGAGTACAGATACGCTGTGTATTTCTTTGAACTTGCAAGGAATTTCACCTTATATAAGCCTGTGGAGTTTACTGCGATTCAGACCAGCGACTCCTGAATATTCCAGACGCCAGATGATGCCAGTAGAGTTAATATTTCAATATTCCTATTCTTCAGCCACACACAAGAGGGCAGTATGAGCTGTTTGTATGGAGGGAATCCTGCGTGAATTATTTGCACCCAATCACCTCTGGTGTAATGAGGTAATGTAAGAAATGACGAAAAAAAAAAAAAAGGGACCAAACTACTGATAACAGCACAAGATTCATTTTGCATATTAAACTTTGACCCCTTTAGCTGCATACGTGGAGTCAACACAGACCAATGTTTGGCTGCAAGAAGAAAAAATGTTGATTTGTCTGTTCTAGCTGGAAACAATAAAATCTGTGAGAAAATCCTTTAAAAAGGGTGGTATTATGAATTTTACAAGCAATTTTATAGCACAAAAATCAAGTGTTATCTTCAGTTATAAAAATGCTGTATATGGAGAAATAACCTACTTTTTCTTTACTTTGCTGCCTTGAAATGGGCTTCTATCCCTTCATGAAGCTCCTGCTCTTTCTGACACAGTAAGACATGTTTAGGCCTCCCTGAATGGCTGCTGTGGGAGATTCAAGCATTTCTCAAATATGTATAAAAGAATCAAAGCAACACTACATGTGTGTTTTTGATGAGGAAATAACATTAAACCATTACAACATTTTATTATTTCCAATGACATTATTTACAACATTATATTAAAAGTACTGAACTAGTTCCTTACTGATAACATAAAACACATTCTACAGTCAATACTGACATTCCTCTTTCATCCACCTATCTATTGGTTTATTTTTATTAAATGCATAGTTACATAAATGACCTGAGCACTTCGACCACTAAATGCGCTGTCGCAGATTGGTTAAGCGCTTGTGACCGCACACTCTTAAAAGGGCTTAAGGGTCATAACCTGCTGACTTTTATGTGCCTCATTTGTATTTAGAAAAAAGTCCAGTGGTGATTTTTAATCTTTTAAGAAACAAAATGTCAAATTAACTCCACACACCACATATTTCTCAATAAGAAATAAAGCAATAGCAAAACCCCTCCCCCCCAAAAAAAAAATTACTTTTCCCCAGGTTATCACTTTCTTCCTGCAGGGTAGAATTAATACACAGCTGCAGCGTCCCCAGTCTATGTGCTGAGCGTGTTATCGGAGCGCTCAGGTAGTCGGAGACACTGTGACAGCTTGTCAGCCTGCGCTGACAGTGAACACCAAGGCTGCTTTTTGTTTGGATGCACCCAGACGTCACAGCAGCCTGCAGTGATGTGGAGGACAAGCTCTTTTAAACTCTTTAAAAGTTGCCAAAAATACCACTAGTAATAACAGTCTACATGGTATTCTGAATACTTAGCCTGCAGGGAGAAACCTGTCAGTAATTTTATAATAAATTAATTTCCATAAGTTATTTTATTTTGAGCTGTGGTGTGTAAGAAGGCAACCAGATTCTGGTAAATAAAATATAACAGGGGATGTGTTTGTTTGACTTCTACCTTAATTTTATTGTATTGGAAACAGGAAATCAATGTGATAGTCTTTATCACAATATCACAAACTTGTCTAGTTACCATGAGACAAATGGGCATCATTAAAACCCAATCTTCATGTGGTCTGTGAGGCAGGAAGCGTTTAAATTAGACTGAGTCTTTTATAACTGACGTCCTCGCTTCTCTGCTGGCGTTAAGCTGATGTTTTTAATTCTCTATTTGTCCCACTTAGAGGGAAAATATCACAGAAAAGTGTCAAACCTGTAGATCAGCTGCGTGTCTATGGCAACTGTGGGCATCCACTGTTATCCAGAAATGCCATTGAATAATTGATTTGCTGAATGACACGGAGTCTCTTGTTCTGCGATTTGTGGAGGAGTGTGGGAATAAGAATATTTTATCCGATGGATGTTGCACGTCTGCCGAGGACACTCTGATGCACACACTGATTATGATTATGCAAACATAAGGAGTGCAGGTGTTGGGTTATTTCTTGTAGCGTTTATTCTGTCACTGTAATCTCATTTTCCTCCAACCAGGGGGAACTGTTGCTATTTTCTCCCCTCCCACATGCCCCACAAACTCTGCCTAACAGTGTCAGTGTCAGATTACGCTCATATTCTGTTATAATAGGATGATTTCCATCAGCTGTCATTATATCCCAATCCCCACATCATTTGACATGCTACACTCTATTACATGAGATTCAATTGTCTCAGTTTGATCAATTGTAATTCAATTATTGATACTAATTTTCACTACTGAAGTCTCACGAGTCCCTTTTTTGGTACTCTGCTTGCCATTATGTTTGTGTGTGTGTGTGTGTGGGGGGGGGGGGGTGGGTGGGGGGGGGTGTGGGGGTGTGTGTCTGCTTATGAGCATGAGGCAACTTGATTGCTGATTTTCTGCTTTACAAAAACAACGGTTTACCATGAAAAGTGATCCTAAGGTCATTTGCAATATCAGTGGGATGATGTAATACGGCAAGAGAGTTCTTTAAGGTTTGCATGAACTGTGATGTAAGTGAAAAATATGAGTGAAAATATTTGTTGTTGTTTTTTTTTTATTTTTGTTTTGTGAAGGCCTGGTACTAAAGGCCAGTATTACTTTATGGTAAAAGGCATAAAAAAATACAGGGGGATTAAATTACATCCTAAAATCAGAAGATGGAGCCTCTAGAAGCTCAAATTTTAAGTCCAAATGTGTTTTAAGAGCAGCTTAGTCTCCAGCTCACATCTGGTATGCAGTGATTTATGATTCATAGTGATCCTGTAAGCCATTATTGGCAGTCGATTCCTTTTTAAATGGTGCATTCAAGTGATCACTAACCCTGTTGTGGTCTTTTGGTCATCAGTCACCTCTTAATGCATGACATAATTTGAATCAATGGATGAAGGGGGCCGCTGCCAGATGTATCTGCTTGCAGTCAGTGTTCTCCCTTACAACAGGCTTATGTTGATAAAATTATAAAAACATAAAAAAGGAAAAGCCTGCGATGGACTGGCACCCTGTTCAAGTCACACCACGCCTCTGGAGTTTGGCACCAGCCCTGATTGTGATCCTACATGGACAAGCGGCTATAGACAGTGGATGGATGGATGGTAACATAATGAGTAGTCTGCTGTTGGTATTACTTAGGACTAAATTATTTAAAAATAGCTATTCAACCATTTAAAAAAAATTCTAGATCAAAAAGAGCAAAGCTAAATGATGCACAAACTAAATACTTGAACAGTTGTGGGTTTTGATAGGAAAGGATTGGCTCACAACCCATCTCGGCACAAATGATACAAAAAGCACAAGCACATAAACATAAAACAGTTTGAATTACAGAAACAGATAGAAATAAATCTTATGTCTGGGGAAGATTAATGTGTCTCTCGAGACATTTGGTGGAGGTGCAGTGAGGTGCCAGGGAAGCTTTTAAGGTTTATCCAGTCATTGTTTAACCTCAGCAAGAGCTGCGTTCTCATTATTTTCACAATTCTGAGCTTGTCTTTTTGCCGTTTCCAATTGCTTTGTGAATGGACCTTGCCAAGTGAGGTAGTGACAGTCCTACGTCACCGGACTCTAACAGGGGCAAGTTAGCTTCACCAGTTGAAGGAGTGATGATTGGTTTGTGTGTCCAGCCAGCTGCTGGGGTTTAAAAGCACAAAGAAGACTCAGAAATTATTTGCCTTTTACCAGTGTGTTCTTGGTTAAACCACTGTAATTGTTCATTATTATTTTTATTTTATTTAAGAACATTATGTGGACACTTTCAAAAATGATCTTATGCACAGTGCTGATGTCAATGCTTCACGACATATCTTGTTGTGCCGCGCTGCTGGCATAGCTTCTGAAAGCTCACAGCTGAGTGTAATATCGCCGCCTCCTTTTGAGCTATGACTGGCCAGACGCACGTCGGAGACAATTCATCTTTCTGAGTTCATGACGTTTGTAAATGTTATGTGAAAGAGGAGCCTCTGAGCCTGATCTTTGTTCTTCGGTGTTTTCAGTACACGACCTTAGATGTCCAATGGAGTGGTTTGTGATGTGTAAAATGGCTAGGACGAGAGTTAGCTTGTCCATGTCCGAGACAGTAGTTCTCACCTGTGAAAGCAGGTGATGTTCTGGAGCGTTGTTGTTCTTTGCCTCAGGCAAAGGAGTTCCAGTCTCTTCTGGTGTCTTTCACACTATTGATGGAAGGATGGAGTGGGAGATGGATGGACAGACTGGGTCCTTATGTAGTGTAATGTGGACACTGGACACTGCTCTACTCTGTTGGGGTGGAAGAAAATTAAGTTCGACCTGCATCTAACATCATGACCTAAAATAAAGGCTCCCTTCATATTCTCTAAGATGGGAACAAAAGATTACATTGTGTTTGTGTGAGAGACATGTCCGGACTTTCATCCTGGACTTACT